TGACATTGTAATAATCATGAACAAGTATAAAAACCTCTGGTTATGAGTTGGAGCATAACATACATAGGTCGACATGCTGATTTGGGCAAAACATTGACCTAAAGGGAGCGCTATAGCAATAGAGGAATTTGGTTAATTTGATAATTTGTATGGTTATTAGTTTGACATTATCGAAAGTAATAAGTCTCGACTTTCGAGGTATTAATCATGTTTCCAAGTCAGGAATGGTAAAACAACCCCTGAACTTGAATTTCTGGATTAGATGTGCGGGTGTTTATTTCCGATAGAACGTCACGCTAGACAATAAACTGTTTTTTTTTCTGGGATCTAACATTCTTGCGGAGATGTAGGCCAGTGGCGGATCTGGCCCAAAAAGTAGTAAAAACACCTTTCAAAATTAAGAATAATAGAATACCCGCCCCTGAGTAAAAAAAAAAGTTAGTGCACATTACCCCCCCCCCCCTTCCCGCTTACTCACAGGCTGATTCGTTAAATATTTTCTCACGAATTGGGGAGAAAAAAAAATAGTGCTCATTTTTGTGATTTGTATATTGTTTTGTATTATAATTAGATTTGTTAAAGAAAAATGAGAATATTCCTGGCTGTTTGGATTCTGATCAATTAATGAAATTACACATGTATAACAATTCTAAAGAAAATAGGGACTTTTAGATTTGAACGACGGAGAACGTGGACTGCCCTTTTAAAGCGAAAGACCAGTTCTGGTCATGCGATTGCATTGTGAAAGAAACGTTGTGAAATCGATCAGAAAAGTTTGATCATCTAGCATAAATGTACTGCAAGGTTCTGGAATCATCAAAATGATAAGAAATTTTAGAAGCACTGTACACAGAAAGATGTATATGGGACTACACACACGTGCGCGACACGTGCATTTCATATCTCTCAACAGGCAAGAGATACACTAATTTACCCAATTAGTAGGCGGTTTCCCGTCAAAATGTTTATCATCATGTAATATTAAAAACATATTCTTTCACATGATTGGTAATAAGAGCTTTTGTTTCATTTTTAGAAATTGGGGCGTTTCCAATACTGGTCTTTACCTTTAAGGCAATGTGACGTCACTGCCAGTGCCTTAAAAGGACGTCACATTGCCTTAAAAGGGCAGTCCACGTTCTCCGTTGTGCAAATCTAAAAGTCCCTAATATAAACCTCCGGTTGAGAAGTGGATCATAAAAAGATCGGACTCAACTTATCAAAACAGAATGGAAACCAAGGGCTCCCTCAGCCGACCGACTGCATTCAATTCGTCGCCAATGAATCGTGATTGAACAAAAGTTTGATGTAAACAAGATATGGAGGAATTTATTTCTGTAAGTGACAGTGTACCGGCAAGCTATTTAATATCGGTGAATATAAAAGATAGAAAGAAGTGTTTCCAGTTTTTCAATCTTCCTTGAAGGAGGAAAATCAGCATAACGCTTTTCGATCTGAATACAGACAGGGAGTTTATGCAGATGCATAGTGTAGGAAGTGCATCATAATTCGACGTCACAATGATATACGAAGTGGAATGGAAATGTCTCTGGCTTCGTGCGGCTGCACGGATCTCAGTAGTAATTTGATCAATTGGAAGTTGCGAAAAACCTAATGATTTCCCTCTTTTTGTCTCTCCCTCTCCATCCACCCTCTCTCTGTGTCACTCTTTCTATCCCCCAGGTTCCCCTCTTTCTGTCTTGTCTCGTATTGTACTTTTGTAAGCACACATTTTTCGTAACCCCTCCCCACTTTCTCTATGACAATGCCTCTCTTTCGATATCTCCCTCTCCGAATCCCTCTCCCTAATTTGTCTTCACATAATTCTTGTCAAATTTCGACTATGTGGGCATTTGAAGAACCTTCGTTTTTCAGGAGACCTTTTTTGCTAGGATATTCTTCCACATTAACATAACTGAGAAAGAAAAAATATGGAGGGGAGGGAGGGAGGGAGTGAGAGAAAGAGACGGGAGAGAAAGAAAGAATGGTGTTGGGTGTGAGAGGGAGGAATGGGGAAAGGACAGAGGGGAAGGGATAGATGGGAAGGGAAAGAGGGGCAGAGGGGAGGGGCAGAGGGGAAGGGACAGAGGGGAAGGGGCAGAGAGGGAGGGACAGAGGGGCAGAGGCAGAGGGGAAGGGACAGAGGGGGAGGGGCAGAGGGGGAGGGACAGAGCGGGAGGGGCAGGGGCAGAGGGGAAGGGGCAGAGGGGGAGGGACAGAGGGGGAGGGGCAGAGGGGGAGGGACAGAGGGGGAGGGGTAGAGGGGGAGGGGCAGTGGGGGAGGGGCAGAGGGGAAGGGACAGAGGGGGAGGGGCAGAGGGGGAGGGGCAGAGGGGGAGGGGCAGAGGGGAAGGGACAGAGGGGGAGGGGCAGAGGGGGAGGGGCAGAGGGGGAGGGAAAGAGGGGGAGGGGCAGAGGGGGAGGGAAAGAGGGGGAGAGACAGAGGGCAGCCATAGAGGGGGAGAAACAAGATTGATAACTAATTCACAATGACAGGTGCACAATATGTTTCAAATATACAGATCATTTATTAAATGTCTTATTTATTTATTTCATATGGAATAAATGACACACACATTTATTTGCACTGGACCCTCCTTTTCCAATCTTTCATCAACTAATACTGGAATATAAATTTGAATTAAGTGAACAAAAACAAATCCATAAACTTATCACCGTGATATGGATACATACCCTGTACATATCCTGAAAAAATGTACAAAACATACTTCAGCAAAAATTCATCGAAATTAGCAGGAGTAAACAAAACATACTTCAGCGAAAATTCAGCAATAGTTGTATTACAAAACAGTCTTCAGCAAAACTTGTATTACAAAACATTCATCAGCAAAATTCAGCAAAATTTGCTTGAGTATAAAAAACATGTGGCACAAAACACTACAAAACATGATTTTCCTTTGGCATTTTTTTTTTTAATACAAAAGAATAGAGTACCAGAGAATGAGGCACAAATCGTACAATGGCCACATTGTGAGGGGCGTTGGCTCAAACACTGAATTTGCCCTGCTCCAGTCCGTTACTTGAATGATTTCGCAGAGAGCCTCATTAGCAGGCTCTGTTGTTTGGAACACTCCCAATTACTACAGTCATTTCGTGAAGAAAAACATTGGCATGAACATCCTACTAACTGCAACGTACAATTTTTCAACTGCTACAGTTTCATAACAATGCATTTTCAAGCGCCGTAAAATTTTCTTTAAAAAAATTGATAACGCTTACAGCTAGATGTGGGGGTGACTGCACCAAAATCATTTGAATATCTGCCATTTACTGTATAGAAATATATTTATATATTTTATAAGACGTAATAAGGGAATGGCGCCATATTTGGTCCACAGTAACGTCCAACATGACCTTTGATTGCACTTTTCAAGGCAGTGTTTTATTTGACATGTAAAATGAATGCCGACTGCGCCGGCGCAACAAAGGACTTGCACGTATTCACTCAGCTCTGTGTTATTACATTCAGAAACGTGAAGCGTATTAAGCTTTACATTAACAAAATAAAAATTAAAAACTAAAAATTAAAAACGTAGTGATTTTGCTGCGCTATATCTGGAACTCTCCTCTTTGACTATGATCAACAACTTCTTTGATGATTGTTATGTAAAGCGCTGTGAAACAATAGCTAGTTTGTAAGAGCGCTATAGAAATGGCTTTATTGTATTGTATTGTATTGTATATCGGAATGAACCTTCATAGGTTGCATGACACACGATCCTACTACAATTGTAAAGTCAGCATTCTACCCTATCTCAATTCCAGACATCAACCCTGGACTCATCACTCTACTGAGTTTAAAGATAAAGTCGAGTTCTGGGGGTGTTTCACAAAGATTCTAAGTCGAACTTAACTCTAAGTTGGAATTAAATATTATGGAGAGTCATTTGTAGCCTCATTTTGAAATATATTCAAAAGCAAAAATTCAAGGATTTTAGACTTTTCATAAATTCCACATCAAGAACATGAAATCACCATTGATAATAGAAAATATGAATGATTTGAATCAACATTTTATGCCTTTTTAATATAACTTTTACAAAATATTTTCAAGGATGCTAATGACTTTCCATAATTGTTAAGTCAAACTTAGAAATAAGTTCAACTTAAGATCTTTGTGAAACACCCCCCTGGTCATGGGATAGCATAGTGAAAGAATCATTGTGGAATCAATTAGAAAAGGTTGATCATCTAGCATAGAAGTATTGGTGTGTACTGCGAGGTTCTGGAATCATCAACATGATAAGAAATTTGGCCCAGTCTTGGTAAAGTTACAAGCACTGTACACAGAAAGATGTTTATGGGACTACGCGAACATGTGGTATAAAAATCTGTCCCGATTTGTATGATGTTACATGCCATATCTAAAATATTAAGGCATTTAAAGAGCCATGCTTTTCAGGGACTATTTTTTATCTGATGTTCTTCCACACTTGCATAATGATAACGCTCACAAATTATTGTTCACCTCTTCACAAAACTCAACCTTCTCTTTAAATTTAAATTACATAGCTAAAAGGGGCCGGTTTCATAAAACCTGTTATAACAAATTCTGAATATCTATGAAAAATTTGTTCTTATCCAATCAATCGAAAGAAAAGAAAAAAATAGAGAAGCAGATTGGTGAAAGTTTAAACAAAATCAGACAAACTATAAAGAATTTAAAAAAAGTTGTAATCACTCTTTGGATGTTCACATCAAATTGTCCAAATCAGAAGTGTCACTGTGATATAGTAGCGGACAACTCTCCCAATTGTTCCAACACACAAAATGACTAAAATGTCAATTTGTCAAAATTTCTTACTTCGGAAAGGTCCCATCTTTTTAGAGGACCGATAATTATATAGCATCCATAATATATTTTGAGAAGTGCCCCAAAGGAGAATGCGCTGAAGAAAAACAAACATCATAATTCATTGACCAAAGTTGACCAAATTTGTCTGAGTGTCCCAAAGGTTTAGTGATTTTCTATCTTTAAAAATGTATACATTTCTTATCTTTTGTCTGATTGATTTCAAACTTTCACCTGTCTGTTTCTCTAATTTTTCTCTGTTTTTTCAATACAAATCCACTCCTAACCAACATTTGATTGCCCTTAACCTCAATCATGACAAATGATGACATAACTGTAAATTAACATCTCATATGGTAATTGTGATTTGGAACTCATGGGCCAAAATAGCATGGACTTGCCCATAAACTACAATGCTTTTCACAAATATTTCTTAATGGTGTTTTATAAAGAGATGTGATATAACCTGAATTGAATTGATTGAAAATGAATACAAATATTTATCATACAAACCACAATAAAATTCTTCTCTTTGTACATACATTATTAGATGTAGACTCAAGGGAAAAAGTTAAGAAATGCATGAATACTGTGAAGAAGAAAAAAAAATATTGTGAAAGTTCTGACAATCTCTAGTTTCACTGTATATAAACATGTTCTTTATAAAAAGATAATAGCATTTCATAACATATAAAAACAACATTATTGCTATGTCCGAAAACAACTCGACACTGCTGTTGATCTATTACTAACTTTTCCACTCTTTTTCGTTAATGTTTTATATACAATTTATAAGACATTTATTGGTCAAAGTTGCGCAAAAAGAAAGACATCCCAGGACAAGACAATATCACAAGAATAATACTCTTTGTAATTTGGTTGATTTATTTGATTTACCCGACTACTAAGAAAGCATGAATAAATTGTAATGGCTTTAAGTCGTCTCCAAGGAACTTGGTAATGAGGATTAAAGCCTTAAGCCACGGTCACAAATGCCATTACGAACTGCTACGAACGCCGTACGAACATTTTCAGGCAATGGAAATTCGGGAAGACAATGGAAAAACAGGGAGATCCGTACGAAATTATCGTTCGTACGAACCTTTGTGACCGTAGCATTACCAAAGGACACTAGCACAGCGACTTGGTTTCAAACCCAGGACCTCCTGGTTATGAGACCACTGAGCCATTGCACCTTTCCATATGGGGTGATTGGTGGAAAATGCAAAGCATTACATAAGGCCTGTTTGTCATAAAAACTGAAGGGCAATCCTAGTGATTGACAGCACCTGTTATTTGGTAAACACCCAAATGGAATCAAACTTCCCATGATAGCCCACTACTATGCATCTTTAGGTGGGATAGGGAGTATGGTATTCAAAAATTCATCCAGGCTGGCCTCAAAGGACAGGCGCTTTTTGTCCAAAGTATTTGGCGAGCTGTTTTTGTCGGACATAGGAGGTAAAAGGAAGTTCCGTCTTGGCCATCAATTGGCAGTCTTTATCGTGTGCTACAGATTCTTTCAATTTAAAGCTTTCCACATTGATACCTGTTGGGTGCCAAACACCTTTGTCGTTGGTAACCACTTTATCTATACACCGATCCTTCAGCATCTGGTTCATCTCCTCGAGTTTGGTGACTTCCCTGCGCATACGCTCTTCCCCGAAGGCATCTACTTTCTCCCAGAATGTCCTGTTGAAGAAATCATACAGTTTTGTGTCACCGTCGTTCCATTGCCGCATCTTCTTCATGGTTGTGTCGGTGAGGGTTTTAACGGATGTGGGGCTGCGTGCGTTCATCTTGAAGAAGGCAATGTCCTGGAAGTCCCAGCACATGAGTTCTTTAAGGAGGATCAGGGACTCAGAGAAGTGCTCCGTCAACATGACCAGGTCAAATTCGGATGAGATGCGCTGGATCTTCTTGGCGACTGCGCCAGCATTGGTCTTGAGATTGTTCTCTAGACCTAGGTCAAAGAGAATAGAATCTTTGGCATGGTCTTTTCCAGGGTTTGGTTCATAGTAGTTATTCGGGTTTTCCAGGAAGGTGGATAAGGAGACACCGTACCGACGCTGGTATTGCAGGTAGGTGTAGGTGGACTCAAACATGGTGGCAGGATCTCTGATGATGGTCACATAGGCAGAGTCAGCAGGCAACACAGAGACAAATCCTGCATGAAAAAATATTAAAAAATTGATAATTCATTGCTAAAGGAAAAAGTATTATCTAAAGATCATAATGGTGAGAGCAAACAGTGGCATGAACGGCCTGTTATAGGTAAGTCCAACTTAAAGTCAATCTTAATCTTTGTGAAACACCCCCCAGGTCTATGTGGGCAGTTAAAATGGTACTTTCCTATATGAATACAAAAATGATAACAATCAACAGGCCATTTTCGTAATGTAACCAAATTTAATGCAAAAGCCTTTGTGAATTGCTTCAATACAAATTACTTCATTCACCTGATAAGAATACCTGTAATAGAATTTCAATAGTCGGGATGCAAACTGCATATATTGAGTGTTGCTAGGTAGGTCATAATGTTTGTCCTACCTGGCAACAACTAATGTATACAGCTCGGATTCTGTCTATTGAAATGCTATTATTCTTATCAGGTGAATTAAATAAGTTGTATCGAGGCACTTCACAAAGACTTATGCATTAAATTTGGTTACATAACGAAAATGGCCTACCTTTATTCAACAAGAACAAGGTTGATAATAGTATTAGCATTCCAGAACACTGCTTCCTTCACTAACATGTCAGTCAAACTGAATTTCTGTGGAACTGATGAAGAAACAACAAATTGGACTACTTGACATTTACAATAATACTTGACATTTACAATAATACTTGACATTTACAATGTAAATCTCTGGCAGGATTCGCAAAAGTCAAAGTTCATTTGAAATTTGGGCAGGTTGTTTTTCAATCATTTTCATCTCTTGGCTAAGGGTGTAATATAATTTTCACAATTATTTTTCTTTTTCTTCAGCCATTCAGAAGTGTAACCATCTACCTATCAATTATATATACAATCTAAGAAATTTAAACAAAAATGTATTTGGAGGCTTACAAAAACAATGTATGCTACAATTTGATTTATTTTATAATTTGATTTATTTCATGAATTGATCACCGCATTCCAATTTGATTATCATCTGTGTCTGAGGAGTTAGTTATTTTCATATTTTCTGTCCAAAAAGGCGGGTGATTTTACATCAAAGATAGTTTATAGTTTAAACACCTTTTCTCAGAGTTGCCAATTTTTGCAAAATCTATTACTGCATTCAAGATCACTAACTTTATTATTTTTACAGTATATAATGTTAATTATTGCATGACACCGACATATATGGCAGAAAATCCATCAATTTAAGAGAAAAGAAATCAACTGAAATACGTTAATCATCCCTTTTCTGGCCTAGAATCAGCGTTTTCAAACGTGTTTCAGGCAAATCTGCATAGTGATAAACGCAATTTTAAAAAAAAAAGTTTTTTAAAGGTACTTGGTAACATTGTGATGGTTGATTTCACAAATTTGTTGAATCAGGATGCAAAACACGTAAAATTATGTGTGTATGTATGGATTATCCAACTACGATGCCCCAAATCCGAAATTAATTCATGCTAAATGAAGATTTTTAAGAAAGTTCCACTGGTTTTAGAATGGGCGTCGATGGGAGGCGCTTGTGAATCTACATTCTCCCAACTATTTTTGAATTTTCCCAACCGTTTTTCCATGAAAAAAAGACATAAAAACAGGCTATAAAAAATCTGTCAACACTTAAATGTCTGGAATGGAATGTAGAGCCATTTTATTGCTTTGTGAGATTTCCATTCACCTAAAATGTAATTAAATTGTAATAATATAGTTGGGAGAATTAAGGAATCGATCAGATCAGTTTTTCCCAATTTGTACCATGAATAATGGTCCGTTTTCGCTCAAATTTTCAGATTATCTTTAATTGTACATCTAGCATTGAAGTCACTACCTTAGCACCACTATCTCTCATCTGAACAATGTTACAAAGTCCCTTTAAAAATGGGTATATTATTGAAACGCCGAAAAAAGATGTGTTTTAATGTGAGAATGAGCCAGAATCACATTTCTGAGAAATGATGAATGCAAAGCTGTTTTGAAACACAAATACATAACGGACCTTCCCAGGCTAATTTCCATTTCAAAGAAATAGCGCGCACTTTGTGCTGTGCCCTAGTTGACCTCCGAGCAACTCTCTGCTTCCTGGGTAAAACAAAATCTAACTTTCATTTTTGATTGTAAACAAACATATTCCTTAACCATAAAAACCACTCAAAAGGCACCAAAAAACTTGCATGTGATAAACATGGTAGGTTTGACCCCGGAAGTTTTAAATGTTAGGTCATACAACCCTTGTGAAAGGTCATAGATACTCAGAGTATGCTACCCTATAAAGTCGTGTTAGTGCTTTACTCCTGGAAAAATCCAATAGTAAATCAGTCCGCGTAAAGGTCGCCGTAGGTAACATGACTATTGTTCAGACGGTCACTACGCAGACCTTACCATACTTACGCCGACTAGCTCTTAACACGACCTTTACCTTTACAAAATTGCCATTGTGTGAACACGGCTTCTGGTACATGATGAGATTAATGTATGCTTGACTGCATGGCTGCTTGCCTGACATAGCAACCAGGGGCCCGTTCCTCAAATCGGTTATAAGTTCAACTTCTTGACTACCCCATTGAAACATATGTTATAGAATTAACACATTATCAATGGGTTAGTCAAAGATAGTCAAGAAGTTAGACTAATGACACGCGTTTCAATGGGATAGTCAAGAAGTTAGACTTATGACACGTGTTTCAATGGGATAGTCAAGAAGTTGACTTATGGCACGCGTTTCAATGGGATAGTCAAGAATTTAGACTTATGACACACGTTTCAATGGGAAAGTCAAGAAGTTAGACTAATGACACACGTTTCAATGGGATAGTCAAGAAGTTAGACTTATGGCACGCGTTTCAATGGGATAGTCAAGAAGTTAGACTTATGGCACGCGTTTCAATGGGATAGTCAAGAAGTTAGACTTATGGCACGCGTTTCAATGGGATAGTCAAGAAATTAGACTTATGGCACACGTCAATGGGATAGTCAAGAAGTGAGACTTATGGCACGCGTTTCAATGGGATAGTCAAGAAGTTAGACTTATGGCACGCGTTTCAATGGGATAGTCAAGAAGTTAGACTTATGGCACGCGTTTCAATGGGATAGTCAAGAAGTTAGACTTATGGCACGCGTTTCAATGGGATAGTCAAGAAGTTAGACTTATGGCACGCGTTTCAATGGGATAGTCAAGAAGTTAGACTTATGGCACGCGTTTCAATGGGATAGTCAAGAAGTTAGACTTATGACACACGTTTCAATAGGATAGCCAAGAAGTTAGACTTATGGCACGCGTTTCAACGGGATAGTCAAGAAGTTAGACTTATGACACGCGTTTCAATGGGATAGTCAAGAAGTTAGACTTATGACGGTTTCAAGAAACGGGCCCCAGGCATGCAGTTAGATGGTAGTTTGCTTTAGCTCTTATTGATGGGATGCAAATGTTTTGTACTCATGCTCCGATATGTCTGGATTAAAGGTAAAGACCAGTTTTGGAAACGCCCCCCCCCCCCTCTCAAAAAATGAAAATGAAGCTCTTATTACCAATCATGTAAAAGAATGTTTTGACTATTAAATATGTGATCATACAAATTTTGCTGAGAAATCATCTACTTATTGATATATTTGGTAAATTATTATATCTATTTGGACCTGATAGATATAATGCGAGTGTCGCGTAGTATACATCTTTCTGTGTACAGTGCATGTAACTTTACTAAGAAAGGGCCAAATTTCTTATAATTTTTATGATTCCAGAACCTTGCAGTACACACCAATACTTATATGCTAGATGATCAGCCTTTTCTGATCGATTCCACAATGTTTCTTTCACAATGCAATCGCATGACCATAACTGGTCTTTATCTTTAACACGCCAGAAGAAAGGATAAAAGTGGGACTTGTGTAAAATGGCAAGACTGCCAATAAATAGTCTATTAGACCGCCTGTTCTATTATGTTTGATAATCACTGCCTGGACTTTAATAAAGTATCATGACTTTGAACAGTAAACACTTGAGCTGTGTCCTTTTATAGATTCAATACATATGGTAAGTATAACTTCAAATATTGGCACTAGGGTTACGTGTACAGTTGTCCTGATTTTGTTTTAATTAGAACTGTACAGATGTTGTTAATTTGTTTCTTTCCTTCTCTTCTCTTTCAATCACTGCTACATGTACATACAGTGTAGAGTAACAGGTGAGTCAATATTTACAATAGAGTGCGCAAATCATAAGTTCTTTCAACATTAAAGGTATTATGTCCCATTTGCAGGCTAAAAATATGAAAAGGTTAAATTCCAACAGCATTTGAAAGATAATACTAATTTAGAACTTTCTTTGAACAAGGGGGGGGGGGGGGCTTGAAAATGTCTTTAAAGGTACCATGTCCCATTTGCAGGCCAAACAAATGAAAAGGTTAAATTTCAATGGCATTTGAAAGATAATACTAGTTTAGAACTTGAAAATGTCTTTAAATGGGAAAATAACAACTATTAGTTGTCGAATCGACTTAAGAGCAATAGAGCCAGTAAGTTATAGTCTGATTTTCAGACCATTGTACCGAATGGTCGTATGTTTTATGCTGCGCAAAGATTCAATCAGTTTAATTTTGGCCATTACAAGAAGTAGGTTATTGATGTAGACAAATGCTCATGTACCCTTTACAGTTCATTTTATGTATTTTATTACCAAAGAAGAAAAAAAGCCAGTCGGTCACTCAATAGTGTCTGACAGTGAAGTCTAGCAAGTAAACGGGTTTCCTTGCATAATTTGAATATTAGGACACTGCTAATGTTTAAATTTCACAGATAGGACATACATGTCATATTCATAACTCCTGCAAAGTTCTACAGAATTTGATGTTGGCTGCAAAAGGGACATAGTATCTTTAAACCTATTGCAAAAATGCAACTGCTCAAATCTACAGGCAATTAACCAATCCATGCTACCATATCGAGTTGCTGATGTTAAGATTGGTACTTTAATACAATGTATGTTACATTGGCAAAAATAAAGTGAT